CCTGTAATCCCAGCTACTCGGGAGGCTGAGGCATGAGAATCACTTGAACCCAAAGGGTGGAGGTTGCAGTGAGCTGAGATCGCGCCACTTCACTCCAGCCTGGGTGAAAGAGTGAAACTCCATCTCAAAAAAAAAATAAAACCAGGACATTAAACAGCATCAGGATGTCCTTGCTTCACTTCTCATCCCTGCCTTTCTCTCCACGTCAGCTTCATTCTCTCGGCCAGCATCTCTCCTGAGGCTGGGACTGACCCCTTACGTTCCATTTCCATCTTAAGAGGCTCAAAAGCAAACAAGAAGACAAGAGAGCTTTCCTCGTCGGCTCAGGTGCAGTGTCCTAAGCTCAGGTTATTCTGAGTTTTCTGCCCAGTGCTATAATGGTCCCCTCCAGTCAAGAAGACAGAAACCACTTGGAGAGTTTCAGATGGAGGGAGTTAAATGCAGGGACTTTGTAACAACAGTGTTGGAGGAGCTAGAGGAGGAAAAAGGAACCAGGAGTGACACCCAAAGATGAGAAACCCCTCCCAGACCTGGGCTGAACCTGCGAGCCAGCTCCTGCTCTGTCATGTTGGAGACATCATCTCAATTGGTTCTGCATGCACATAGCATGTCCTGCCTCTGCCCTGGCCACTGAGGTCCAGAACCCACCCCACCTCCATGGCTGTCACACAGCCACGGCCATCAGCGCCTGCCATTGTCAGTGAGGACCAGGGTGCTGCTCTTCTTCCATTCTCCCACCTCATTACTGCTGGAAACTAGCTGGTAAGGGAGTCTGGGACATACAGCTTGCTGGCTTCCAGCCCCTGTGGGGCAGAGCATGGAAGGGTGACTGGGAGGCCGAGAGGCACCAGATAAGTGAGTGGCACTGTGGCTAGCCCCTTGGGGCAGGAATACTAAGCTTGAAAGCCCCTGTCAGAACCGCGTGGTTGGAATAAGGGGCATGGAGTACAGTTCTACAAAGGAAAGGCAGAGGGCTATACCCGGGGAAATAGGGAAGGAGTGGTGTAGACAAAAAATGACTGCGCTTCATGCTTGATAGGTGAGCACCTGGCTGTGGAAAGGGAGAGGCCTGGAGGCCAAAGGTCCGGAGTCCCCTCAGTGGGACTGGCTGCAGGTGTGTGGTGGGAAGCGGGGTGTTGAGACAGGGTCTCACTGTCGTCCATGCTGGAGTGTAGTACGATCACAGCTCACTGAAGCTTCAAACTCCTGGGCTCAAGCAGTCCTCCCACCTCTGCCTCCTGAGTAGCTGGGAACTCAGACATGCACCCCCATGTCCAGCTACTTTTTTTTTTTGTTTTCTTTGTTTTTGTTTGTGTTTTTGTTTTTTGTTTTGTTTTGTTTTTTAAGAGATGGGGTCTTCCTCTTTTGCCCATACTAGTCTTGAATTCCTGGCCTCAATCAGTGTCCTGCCTCGGCCTTCCAAAGTGCTGAGAGTATTGTCATGAGCCACTGTGCCTGGCCAAAGGACTGGCTGAGATTTTATCTGGGGGGAAGGTCCTAGGTCCCCCACCACCTTCTACCCCTTGTACCTAGGAGGCCCGGGCAGTCCTGACCTTTGCCCTGGACAGCGTGGAACGGAAGCTGCTGATGTCCAGCACCAAGGGGCTCTACTCGGACTCTGAGGTACCAGCATGGGGATGAGGCGAAAAGCCAGAACCTTCCTTCCCACTGATATACGGTCTTGTCCCAACTCTGCCCTGGATTCTGAGAGGCCTCAGGAGAGCCTCTTACATTTCTTCTTGTAAAAAAGAGGGAGTTTTCAAACTTCATGGTCCCAGAAACCTTTGCGGAAATGTTTAAGGGAAGCCCAATTTATGAGACAGGCAAAAAGAGGATGAGCTCTGTTTGAAGTCAGAAGAGGGCCTGTGATGGTCCCCCAGCTCCCAGCTCAGAGTGGTGAGCCACGGGAATTCTGGGTCTCAGGCTAAGAGACAGAGCCTGGAAACTCTTGGACCAGACTGTCTGCAAAAGCATGTCCAACCTGGACTTCAGGAATCTAGGAATACATGGCAGTGAAGACTGGGAGTCTCTTGATTCCGTGGCTCTTAGATTATTTAGGCTCAAGGGGCCCATGGCTGTAAAATCCCAAGACCACTCCAATTCTGTGCACTCTCCAATTCCATAGCTCTGCGAAGCTGGGGCCTCCAAGGTCTGAGGATACCTGATTGGTCTGAGTCCTGTTGCTGTCAGAATCTGATCTTAAAGCCCTTCGCCCTTTTCCTGATCTCTAAAAAACAGCTCATGAAATGGGAAATAATCCCTCACCACCTGCCTCACTTGGGGGCGGGGGAGTGATGGGAGGTTAAGGGAGTCAGGTGGGGTCAGCAGAAACTCCTGGGTCAACTAAGTCACGTGCATGCAGGGCTCAGCCCCCAGCACTGACCGGTCTCTCCCGCACAGCTCCAGCAGTGCCTGGCTGCGGCCCAGGCCGCTTCGCAACACGTCTTCCGCTTCTACCGGGAATCGCTGCAGAGGCGTTACTCCAAGAGCTGAGGCAAGCTGGGGCAAAGGGCCGCTCCCACTGCCTCCACCCACTCACCCCCTATAGCCTGAAGCAAACCAGCGGCCCAGCCTTGCCTCTCTGTCCTGTGGGCTCCTGTGAGCCTGCAGCTCTGTAACCACAGGGCTCCTGTGGGGAGGCCTTGGCCTGTGACAGCCCCCAGCAAGGATAACATTCAGAGGAGCTCACATTTATGGAATAGATGAGTCAATAAATTAATTCACTTTAACAAATGTCTGTTGAGCACCCATTGTGTGCAGGCCCTGCTAGTGAGATCCCAGAAGAGCAGGGAGGTAAACTGGAATTTGTCAGATGGTAGTAAATCTATAACAAAGTAAAAAGCAGGGAACAGGAGTTTGGGAGAGTCCCTTTATGGAGGGCAAATTCAGTACATCAGGCATCAGTGCCTCCACAGAGCAGGGCACCTCAGAGGGGCCCTGAAGGAGGGAAGGGCATGAGCTCTTGGTTAACGTGGGGAAGGAGGCCCCAGGGACTGGGGACCAGCTTGGTGAACAGGGTGGCCAGAGCCAGTGAGCAAGAGCAGGAGAGCAGATGGGGCTGCGGGGAACGGGCAAGCATGCAGGTGGGACCTTGTAAGCCATGGGGGGAATCTCACCCACCAACCCTGTGAGATGGGGCTGTTGTTACAGTCTCTGTCTTGTTTTGTTTTGTTTTGCGACGGAATCTCGTTCTGTTGCCCAGGCTAGAGTGCAGTGGGGTGATCTCGGCTCACTGCAACCTCTGCCTCCCAGGTTCAAGTGATTCTCCTGCCTCAGCCTCCTGAGTAGCTGGGATTACAGGCGCATGCCACCACGCCCGGCTCATTTTTGTATTTTTAGTAGAGACGGGGTTTCTCCATGTTGGTCAGGCTGATCTCTAACTCCCGACCTCAGGTGATCTGCCCACCTCTGCCTCCCAAAGTGCTGGGATTACAGGCATGAGCCGTCGTGCCCGGCCTAATTTTTGTATTTTTAGTAGAGATGTGGTTTCACCATGTTTGCCAGGCTGGTCTCGAAATCCTGACCTCAGGTGATTTGCCTGCCTGGGCTGCCCAAAGTGCTGGGATTACAGATGTGAGCCACTCTGCCCAGCCTAATTTTTGTATTTTTAGTAGAGACGGGGCCAAACCCTGCCTGGAGTTGGAGGCAGTCCCATTCAAACCAAATGGCCTGCGATAGGGAAATGGATGCATCCTTAAGGAAACATGGAAGTGTTGGCACCTGGACAGGGAAAACACATCTGCCACAAGCACTTAGCAGAGGCACATAGGAAGTGCTCACTAAGCACACTAAGAGGGGCTAGATATTATCAAGCAACAAAGGTCAGGCTCGGTGGCTCACGCCTGTAATCCCAGCACTTTGGGAGGCTGAGGTTGGTGGATCACCTGAGGTCAGGAGTTCGAGACCAACCTGACCAACATGGTGAAAATCCATCTCTACTAAAAAATACAAAAATCAGCCAGGTGCGGTGGTGCGCGCCTGTAATCCCAGCTACTCAGGAGGCTGAGGCAGGAGAATCGCTTAAACCAGAAGGCGGAGGTTGCAGTGAGCCAAGATTGCGCCATTACACTCCAGCCTGGCAACAGAGCAAGACTCCGTCCCAAAAAAAAATTAAAAATACAAAAAATTAGCCAGGCATTGTGGCACACGCCTGTGGTCCCAGCTCCTTGGGAGGCTGAGGTGGGAGGATCACTTGAGCCTGGAAGGTTGAGGCTGCAGTGAGCCAAGATCGTGCCACTGCACTCCAATCTGGGTGACAGAGGGAGATCCTGTCTCAAAAAAATAAAAAAAGAAAAAGCTCAGAGGGAGACAGCAACAGCAGTCATTTCCATATATGATGCCTTTAATCCTCACTACAGCCCGAGATGTGCAGAAAGTCCCATTTTACAGAGGAGAAAAAATGAGGCTTCAAGAGAAGTCACTTGGGCCAAGCTTACATAGCTAACAGGTAGAGGAGTAAGGGCTTGGAACTCAGCTCTCTCCAGTTCTCTGCTAACCACCAATATTGGAATGAGAACATCCTGCTGTTTAGAAACCGGCAGGCATGGCCGCTCATGCCTGTAATCTCAGCTTTGGGAGGCCAAGGCGGGAGGATCAGTTGAGCCCAGGAGTTTCAGACCAGCCTGGGCAATGTAGCGATGATGCCTTGTCTTTACAAAAAAAAAAAATTTTTTTTTTTAATAATCAGCTGGGTGTGGTGGCAGGTGCCTGTAGTCCTGGCTACTTGGGAGGTTCCTGGGCTCAATCAGGAAGATTGCTTGAGCCCAGGGGTTCAAGGCTGCAGTGAGCCGTGATTGTGCCACAGCACTCCAGCCTGGACAACAGGGAGACCATCTCTCAAAAAAAAAAAAAAGTCCTCTTCCCCTTTTCCAGCTCAGGTCTCAGGGGGCAAGCACCCTGGGGATGCCCACCACAGCCCGTCACCCTGACCAGTCAGTCCCCTGTTGGTCTCAAGCACCCCCAACCCCTTCCATCCTCCCACACACATGAACAGACTCTGGTTTGCTGCAAGAGTGTCTGGTGTTTAATCTCACGTTGCTGCCGCCCGATGAGCGGTGGCCAGGAAGGGGAGGGGTTCCAGTCCAGCTCGCTCCCGTTTCTAGATGCTCCTGCCGCCGCTGCAGCCTCATCCGCCAAGATTCTCCACTCTCTGCCCACAGATTTGCTGGGCTGCCGGCCTCAGGGTTCACAGTGAGGGCTGTAGGGGCAACTAGGGCGGGTCTCGGGAGGCAAGGTAGGCGGCCAGGGTCACCAGGGCAGCCGCATACGTGCACACGCCCAGCCCGACGGCGAGGACCCCCAGCAGGAAGGCACGGCGGGAGGCGGCCCCTGCCCCCTGGATGTCCCCCTTGGCCCAAGCCTTGTTGGTCTGTAGAGGCAGTGGGCAGCAGTGACCCAGGCATCCCCTCAGTCCCAGACCCTTCCCCTGGTCTCCCCACCCAACATACCCATTCATTCATTCATGCATGTATTCCAAAAGCAGATACGTAGCACCTACTATAGGTCAGGCACTGGGGATGCTGAGTGATTAATAAAAACATTAAAATGGTATATGCCACTGTTCTAACTCATTTGATTCTCACATTGGCCTAGAGGTAGCAATTATTCCCACTTTACAGATGAGGAAAGTGGGGCACAGGGAAGTTAAGTGACTTGCCCAAAATCTTGCAGAGATCTGGGCACCGTGGCTCACGCCCGTAATCCCAGCACTTTGGGAGGCCAAGGTGGGAGGATCACTTGAGGTCAGGAGTTCAAGACCAGCATGGCCAACGTGGTGAAACCCCGTCTCTACTAAAAATTCGAAAATTAGCCGGGCATGGTGGCGCGTGTCTGTAATCCCAGCTATTCAGGAGGCTGAGGCAAGAGAATCACTTGAACCCAGGAGGCGGAGGTTGCAGTGAGCCGAGATGGCACCACTGCACTCCAGCCTGGGCAACAAAGTGAGACTCAAAATATATATATATTGCAGAGAGTGGCAGACTCAGGATTTGAGTTCAGGTTCTTAACTAACACTCTGGGCTGCCCTCCACCTTCCCGCCTCAGGTATATGGCTCTTTGTTTGTGTGGGGCATTTTTCTCTTTTATGCCCAGTCCCCTCCAAGTCCCACACACAGACTGACCTTCTGGGCTAGACAGAAGGCAGCGATGCCCACAGGCCAGAAACAACACAGCATGGAGAAGACAGCCAAGCCGAGGTGGTCGTGGGGTAGAAATGGTGAAAGACGGCTGCCGCCATCCCAGTCCGAGTCACTGTCACTGGATGACATGTCCTATGGGCAGGAAAGTGCCCAGGTGGGCATCTCCAGCCACCTTTCCTGCCCCATTGCTCTGCTCTCCATAGCCCTCAAAGGCCAATACCTGCCCCCAGGGCTTCCCCAGAGATACAAAGAGAAAAAAATGTTCAGAGATGGGCTTTTGGTGTTTGAGATAGGGTTTCGCTCTGTCACCCAAGCTGGAGTACAATGGCACAGTCTCAGCTCACTGCCTCCCAGGTCCAAATGATTCTCCTGCCTCAGCTTCCCGAGTAACTGGGATTACAGGCACGCGCCATCATACCTGGCTAATTTTGTATTTTTAGTAGAGACAGTGTTTCACCAAGTTGGCCAGGATGGTCTTGAACTCCTGACCTCAGGTGATGCACCCGTCTCGGCCTCCCAGAGTGCTGGGATTACAGGCATGAGCCACCACACCTGGCCAGAGATGGACTTTTGACATTTGTTTCCTGGAGCCCTCTAAAGGGAAGCTTCAGAGAAGCTTCAGGTCTCCAGAGAAGAGCCCCAACCACACCCAGAGTTTTCAGTTCATTTTCAAGGGGTTCACGGATCCAATCATGGATGCTACAATTGTTTATAATGTCTGAGTGAAAAGCCCCTGAATGACCGGGCGCAGTGGCTCATGCCTGTAATCCCAGCACTTTGGGAGACCAAGGTGCGTGGATCACCTGAGGTCGGGAGTTGGAGACCAGCCTGGCCAACATGGTGAAACCTCGTCTCTACTAAAAATAAAAAAATTAGCTGGGCATGGTGGGGTGCCCCTGTAATCCCAGCTACTCAGGAGGCTGAGGCAGGAGAATCACTTGAACCCAGGAGGTGGAGGTTGCAGTGAGCTGAGATGGAGCCACAGCACTCCAGCATGGGCGACAGAGCAAGACTCTGTGTCAAAAAGAAAAGCCCCTGAATGGGGACAAACGCCACTGAAACAAGGAAACTGCAAAAAGATGGAGATTATTGGCCAGGCACAGTGGCTCACACCGGTCATCCCAACACTTAGGGAGGCCAAGGCAGGAGGATCATTTGAAGCCAGAAGTTTGAGACCAGCCTGGGCAATATAGCAGACCCCATCTCTACAAAAAAATTTAAAAATTAGCTAGGCATGGGCCGGGTACAGTGGCTCACGCTTGTAATCCCAGCACTTTGTGAGGCCAAGGATGGCAGATCGTGAGGTCAGGAGATGGAGACCATCCTGGCTAACACAGTGAAACCCCACCTCTACTAAAAATACAAAAACAAAATTAGCTGGGTGTGGTGGCACGCACCTGTAGTCCCAGCTACTCGGGAGGCTGAAGCAGAAGAATGGCATGAACCTGGCAGGCAGAGCTTGCAGTGAGCCGAGATTGCGCTACTGCACTCCAGCCTGGGCAACAGAGTGAGACTCCATCTCAAAAAACATAAAAAAAATTAGCTAGGCATGGTGTCTTGTGCCTATAGTCTCAGCTACTTGGGAAGCTGAGGCAGGAGGATGGCTTGAGCCCAGAAGTTTGAGACTCCAGTGAGCTATGATCACATGTCTGCCCTCCAGCCTGAGCAATGGAGCAAGACCCTGTCTCTAATAAATAAATAAAAGATTGAGATTATAAAATGCTCCAATGGCCTAAATGATTAGGGCAAACCTGCCAGCTGGAAACTAATGTACAGTCTAGATTTTTAAACCTTTTTTTTTTTTTTGAGACGGGAGTCTCGCTCTTGCCCAGGCTGGAGTGCAGTGGCTCGATCTCCGCTCACTGCAACCTCCACCTCCCAGGTTCAAGTGATTCTCCTGCCTCAGCCTCCTGAGTAGCTGGGATTACAGGTGTGCACCACCACACCTGGCTAATTTTTGTATTTTTTTATTTAGTAGAGACTGGGTTTCACCGTGTTGGCCAGGCTGGTCTTGAACTCCTGACCTCGTGATCCGCCCGCCTCAGCCTCTCAAAGTGCTGGGATTACAGGCGTGAGCCACCGAGTCCAGCCTAATTTTTGTATTTTTAGTAGAGATGGGCTTTCACTACATTGGTCAGGCTGGTCTTGAACTCCTGACCTCAAGCAGTTCATTTGTCTTGGCCTCCCAAAGTGTTGGGATTACAGGCATGAGCCACAGCGCCTGGTCCCACATGCTTTTATTACCATGTGACTTTGATATCCCTCCCATCAAGGGATGAGTTCTGTGTCCCGTCCCCTTGAATTTGAGCAGACTCATGACTCACTTGTAATTAATAGAATGTGGTGGAAGTCATGTTACGTGACTTCCAAAGCGAAATCAGAAAAGGTGAGGCAGCTTCTGCTTTGCTGCAACATTCATGCTGCAGGCTGGAGGTACATAAGCAGCCTGACTGCCCTGAAGCTGTTATGCTGTAAGGAATCCCAAAGCAGCTTATATGGAGGGACCACATATGGAAGCTCTTAAGACTCGGCTGGGCACAGTGGCTCACGCCTGTAATCCAGCACTTTGGGAGGCTGAGGTGGATGGATCACCTGAGGTTAGGAGTTTGAGACCAACCTGAGCAATACAGTGAAACCCTGTCTCTACTAAAAATACAAAATTAGCTGGGCATGGTGACACAAGCCTGTAATCCCAGCTACTCGGGAGGCTGAGGCAGGGGAATTCGCTTGAACCCAGGAGGCGGAGGTTGCAGTGAGCTGAGATTGCACCATTGCACTCCAACCTGGGCAACAAGGGCAAAACTCCATCTCAAAAAAAAAGGAAGCCCTAAGACACCATGAAGAAAGAGAAAAGTATCCAGCCAGCTCCTGACTGTTCTAGTTCCACCCACCAGCTGAATGCAACCTCATGAAAGACCCAGAGGCAGAACCATGCAACTGAGTCCCAAATTCCTGACCAACAGAAACCATAAGAGTTCATCGTGATTGTTGCCTGCCTGCCTGCCTTGCTTCTCTTCCTTCTCTCTCCTTTCTTCCTTCCCTTCTTTCCTTCTTTCTTTCTTTCCTTCCTTTCTTTCTCCTTCCTTCCTTCCCTTCTTTCCTTCTTTCCTTCCTTCCTTTCCTTCTTTCTTTCCTTCTTTCCTTTCCTTCTTTCCTTCCTTCCTTTCCTTCTTTCTTTCCTTCCTTTCCTTCTTTCCTTTCCTTCTTTCCTTCATTCCTTCTTCCTTCCTTCTTTCTCTCTTTCTCTCTTTTCTTTCCTTCCTCCCTCCCTCCCTTTCTCTTTCTCTCTCTCTCTCCCTCTCTCTCTTTCTTTCTTTCTGTCTGTCTCGCTCTGTTGCCCAGGCTGGAGTAAGGTGGTATGGTCATAGCTCATTGCAGCCTCTACCTCCTGGGCTCAAGTGATCCTCCCACCTCAGCCTCCCGAGTAGCTGAGACTACAGGAACGCGCCCCCACACCTGGTTAATTTTTTTTTTTTAAACGGGGTCTTGCTAATTTTCAGAGGACAAAATGAAAAATTAAATAAAAATAAAGATGGAGTCTCGCTATGTTGCCCAGGCTAGTCTAGAACTCTTGGGCCCAAGCAGTCCTCCTGCCTCGCCTTCCCAAAGTGCTGGGATTACCAGTGTGAACCATTGTGCCTGGCCTGGAATGAGAAATTATAAAAAGTGACATTAACTTTAAAAAAAAAAAAAAAAAGGGAAGGCTGGGCATGGTGGCTTACACCTGTAATCCCAGCACTTTGGGAGGCCACGGCAGGCAGATTGCTTGAGCTCAGGAGTTTGAGACCAGCCTGGGCAACATGGCAAAACCTCTTCTCTACAAAAAATACCAAAAAATTAGCCAGGCATGGTGGCACATGCCTGTGGTCCCAGCTACTCAGGAGGCTGAGGTGGGAGGATTACTTGAGCCCAGGAGGTCAAGGTGGCAGTAAACTATGATCGCTCCACTGCACTCCAGCCTGGGCAGCAGAGCGAGACCTTCTCTCACACACACACACACACACACACACACACACACACACACACAGAAAAAAAAAGAGAGAGAGCAGAGTGGACAAAAGCCAGAGGTGCATGCACTCTGAAGACACCAAGCAGCAGAGTCAGAGATCAGAGGGAAGACAAAGCCAAAGGCCAGGCAACAAAGATGAGAGACAAATCTGGAGAGAAAAAGGTAAAGAAACCAGGAGAGACATAAAACAAGAAGAACCATAACTGGAAATCTCAGAAGCCCATGCACAGCTGGGAAGTGAGACTCCAGGCCTAAGGCAGATCGGCACAGCTGTCAGCCTGCCAGATGCTGGCCGTAGTGGGGCTCACCCCAGCCCCTTCCCATGCCTTCCACTAAGGTCTGCTGTTCCTACCTCAACATCAGGGGGCCTTGGTTCCCCCAGGCCAGCGCTCACAGAGGGAAGAGGCGGTGACAGGAACTGCAGACCCCTCAGGGACTCGGCAAAGGCTATCTCTCTTAAGGCGGACCCCAGCTCATGCCTGCCAGGCTTCTGGGCAGGGGTCTCACATTCTGTGCTCTCCAGCAGAGGCTGTTGAAGCTCACGAAGACTAGGACTGTCCATGGCTTTGGGAAAACTCCAAGAGGGGTTTCCTAGGGGTAGGGGGAAGAAAAAGACAAGTTGTAAAAGTCTCACTTCACTCAACTTCTGACCCCTTGCTTTAGAGAGACCCAGGCAGAGACCAGTGAGTGCAGTGGTCCTCAGACCCATTTTACAGATAGGGAAACTGAGGCCCAGAGAGAAAAAAAGATTGGCCTCATGTTACAAAGAGAACTTAGGACATTCAATTTTGGGCATTTCTCTCTCTTTTTTTTTTTTTTTTTGAGACAAAGTCTCGATCTGTTGCCCAGGCAGATCCACCACTGCAGATCCACTAGAGTGCAGTGGTGCGATCTCAGCTCACTGCAGCCTCTGCCTCACGGGTTCAAGCCATTCTCCTGCCTCAGCCTCCCAGGTAGCTAGGATTACAGGCACCCACCACCATGCCCGCCTAATTTTTTTAAAATTATTATTATTTTTAGTAGAGACAGGGTTTCACTGTGTTAGCCAGGCTGGTCTCGAACTCCTGACCTTAGGGGATCCACCAGCCTCGGCCTCCCAAAGTGCTGGGATTACAGGCATAAGCCACTGCACCCAACCAAATTCTGGGCATTTCTCTCAGGCAAAAGCCACATACCCATCACACTTACCCAATAAGTTGCACCTGTTGAACCATGCCTTACACACTTACCTGCCCCACGAACACCCCCAACACCCATCCCAGGTTCATACCCTGTGACCACCTATCCAGGTCCATGCACCCCTCCCAGTCACGCACACACCCATACCCTGCCCCCAGTGCTGCCTGGAACTTCACTCTGGTCTACATTCCCCCTCCTCTGTCCCCTAGACCTGCCCCCCGAAGTCCCCTGCCACACAGCCCCATCTAGGCAAGCCCAGCCTCCACCTCCACACATTCATCTCCCAAAGGACTCCTTGCATATTTTCCCCAAACGTCAGCATCCCTTTCAGGCCCCCAACCTCCTTACACATTTATCCCAATTGACTCCATGCACAACCCTACTCCCCACTGCATCACAAACCACAGACACCTGTGCACACACACGCACCCTGGCCCTTTCCCCTATTCTCATGACCTCTTGCATGCCTGCCTCACTCATCAGGCCCAGGCATCCCTGCCCTACTCCACCCACACACCCATGACTCCACACAACTCCCACACACGCACCAGCTCTCCAGAATCCTTGGCACACCTGGCCCCACAAACACCCTCAACCCCAGCACACATACACGTACACACGCAACACAACCAGAAAGAATATTCTTCTTGTCCTACGATCCCCCTGGGAGGTCCCCAAGCCTCCTGCCCGCTCATTCCAAACCTTGACTGAGCCGATTTCCTCGCCAAAGCTTTGCCCTCTCATCCCCAACGCCAGGACCCAGGGGAGGGACTGTGACCCCCACCCACCTACGCCCCTCGCTCACCGCTCACGATCAGAGGCCGGGGGCCTCCTGAACCCCCGCAATGTCACCCGCCCAGACCCTGCCACCGAGGGTCCGAGGGGCGCGGGGACCTGGCGCTTTGCTCTTCGCGGGTCTCGGCGCCCCGGTCCCGCTGCGTGCGGGGGCGGGGACGGGGCGGGGCGACGGCCTCCCAGGCTCTGTCCCTCCGCAGCGTCCGGCGAGGGGGACCTGAAAGCCGACTTCAGCGTCCAGGAGCGGGTTCCTACGACTCCCGGGGGTCTGGGAGCAGGCGGGAATCCTCGGAGAACGGTAGCCCCTTCCTCGTGAGTCCAGGCCCAAGCTCTGCCGGAGCAGAGGGCACCCCTGATTCTCCAGGGCCTTCCCGGCTTGGCCCCGCCTCCCTTCCCCTTTGCGCAATAATAGCCAATAATAATAACAGCAACAAGGACAGTGCGCCCTGTTCTAAGTGCTTTGCAAATAAACTTACATACACATGTATTCCTCAGCAAAACCCTAAGAGGCATAATTGTTTATTGTCCGTTTCACGCGGGAGTAAACTGCAAGCCGAGGTTAGGTAAATTGCCTAAGGGCATATCATTGGTTCATTGAGAGCAGACTGTACCCAAGCCCTGTGTGAAACGCTTTACATTCATCATCGCATTCATTCCTCCTCTCAGTAGCTCCGCGTTTTGTTGTTGTTGTTGTTGTTGTCGCTGCTATTTTAGTTTGGGGTTTTTGTTTGTTTGTTTTGTTTTGTTTTTGAGACGGAGTCTTGCTCTGTCGCCCATGCTGGAGTGCAGTGGCATGATCTCGGCTCACCGCAACCTCCGCTTCCTGGGTTAAAGCGATTCTCCTGCCTCAGCCTCCCGAGTAGCTGGGAGTACAGGGGCAAGCCACCACGCCCAGCTAATTTTTGTATTTTTAGTAGAGATGAGATTTCCCCATGTTGGCCAGATTGGTCTCGAACTCCTGACCTCAGGTGATCCGCCCGCCTCAGCCTCCCAACGTGCTGGGATTACAGGCATGAGCCGCTGCGCCCGGCCAGGTTTCTTTTATTTTTTAAAAGACGGGGTCCTGCTCTGTTGCCCAGGAATGCAGTGGCACGATCATTGCTCACTGTAGCCTCAGCCTCCCAAAGCGGTGGGATTACAGGTGTGAGTCACCGCGCCTGGCCTATTTTGTTTTGGTGTGTCTTTTTGCCGGGGGGGCGGGTGCTGAGGGGGTGTTGGCTTGTTTTTCGTCCCTGTTTTGCAGATAAAGAAACAGGCTCACGGGCCAGGCCGGTGGCTCATGCCTGTAATCCCAGCACTCTGGGAGGCCAAGGCGGGCGGATCATGAGGTCAGAAGACCCAGACCATCCTGGCTAACACGATGAAACCCTGTGTCTACTAAAAATATAAAAAATTAGCGGGGCGTGGTGGCGGGCGCCTGTAGTCCCAGCTACTCTGGAGGCTGAGGCAGGAGAATGACATGAACCCAGGAGACGGAGCTAGAAGTGAGCCGAGATCGCGCCACTGCACTCCAGCCTGGGAGACAGTGAGACTCCGTCTCAAAAAAAAGAGAAAAAGACTCACCTGTATGCTCACTTGGCCACAGTAAACAGCTGGTACCAAGCCCAGCAGACTGTAACCCAGGGCTGTGTTCCTGTGGCCCTTGCTAAGCCAATGGGCGAGGAGGAAGCAGAGACAGGTGGGGTGGGAGTTTCTAGGGAAAGAAGGCTGAGGAGTGGGGTCCAGTAGGGGGTGATGCTTCGATTGTCAAGTGGTACAGTGATGTTCATGAGTCAACATTTGGACCCACATAGACCTGGTTTCCTTTCCAGGCTCTTTTTGTTGTTGTTGTTTTGAGACAGAGTTTCGCTCTTGTTGCCCAGGCTGGAGTGCAACGGCGTGATCTGTGCTCACCTCAACCTCCGTCTTCCAGGTTCAAGCGATTCTCCTGCGTCAGCCTTCCGAGTAGTTAGGATTACAGGCATGTGCCACCACGCCTGGCTAATTTTGTATTTTTAGTAGAGACAGGATTTCTCCATGTTGGTCAGGCTGGTCTCGAACTCCCGACCTCATGTAACCCACCAGCCTCAGCCTCCCAAAGTGCTGGGATTGCAGGCGTGAACCATCGCTCCCGGCCCCTTTCCAGGCTCTTTTTTTTTTTTTTTTTTTTTTTTGAGACGGAGTCTGGCTCTGTTGCCCAGGCTGGAGTGCAGTGGCCGGATCTCAGCTCACTGCAAGCCCCGCCTCCCGGGTTCACGCCATTCTCCTGCCTCAGCCTCCCGAGTAGCTGGGACTACAGGCGCCCGCCACCTCGCCCGGCTAGTTTTTTGTATTTTTTTAGTAGAGACGGGGTTTCACCGTGTTAGCCAGGATGGTCTCGATCTCCTGACCTCGTGATCCGCCCGTCTCAGCCTCCCAAAGTGCTGGGATTACAGGCTTGAGCCACCGCACCCGGCCTTCCAGGCTCTTTAAGGCACTGAGCGTGTGGCCTCTAGACAGTGCCTTTACCTCTCTGACCCCCGATTTCTTCACCTGCAAAATGGGGATAATGCTCCTTGCCTCTTATGTGAGACTCTATGTACTTAGAGTTGCTGTAACAACAAATGTCCAACATTGGGAGCCTCTCTGAACCTATTTTGGTTCAGGTGCTGCCTAGGAAATAGAAAAATAAAAAATGAACGAATATCCAACATTTATCCAAAGCCGGGCAAAGAAAGCACTCTGAACACATTTGATGGTGTTTATTAATATTATTATTTACATCCATCTCCATCGGACTGATTACAAGACTCTCCCTGTCTTGCAAGCTTCCACCTTCTTCATGGAGCCTTGTATAGGCCTCCCTTCCCAGAAGCCCTCCGTCTCACCAGACTGGAGGATTCCCTGGCCTTTGTGGGGCCGGAGTTCCCTCGCTCCAGGGCTCCAGGGCTCGGTGCCAAGAGTCCAGATGCTGGCGCTGGCACTGGCCCCACTCCCGGGGAGAACAGATGGTGTCTGCAAGTGCACTTGGCTCAGCCAGTTTCTGGCAGACAACAGAAGCAGGGAGGGTAGACAAGAGCGTGAGGGGGCAGGATTGTTTCACCCAGGAGGGATGCCCTGTTACTGTCTATCTCAACCTTGCTCTCATTCTTTTCATATTTCTATGAAGTATACTATAGGCCGGGTGTGGTGGCCCACGCCTGTAATCCCAGCCCTTTGGGAGGCCGAGGAGGGAAGACTGCTTGAGCCTAGGAGTTCGAAACCAGCCTGGGCAACATAGCAAAACCCGTCACCGAGGCTGGAGTGCAGTGGCATGATCTCAGGTCACTGCAACCTCTGCCTCCTGGGTTCAAGCCATTCTCCCACCTCAGCCTCCCAAGTAGCTGGGATTATAGGCACTCGCCACCATGCCCGGCTAATTTTTGTACTTCTAGTAGAAATGGGGTTTCACCATGTTGCCCAGGCTGCTCTTGAACTCCTGACCTCAAGTGATCTGCCCGCCTTGGCCTCCCAAAGTGCTGGGATTGTAGGCATGAGCCAGCGCGCCTGACCAAAAACGATTTTTAAAAAAAAAAAGAAAGAAAGAAACATACCGGCCAGGCATGGTGGCTCATGCCTATAATCCCAGCACTTTGGGAGGCCGAAGTGGGCGGGTCATAAGGTCAGGAGTTCAAGACCACCCTGACCAACATGGTGAAACCCTCTTTCCACTAAAAATACAAAAATTAGCCAGGCGTGGTGGTGCGCACCTGTAATCCCAGCCACTCGGGAGGCTGAGGCGGGAGAATCACTTGAACCCGGGAGGCGGAGGTTGCAGTGAGCCAAGATCATGCCACTGCACTCCAGCCTAAGGACAGAGCGAGACTCTGTCTCAAAAAAAAAAAAAAAAAGAAAAGAAAAGAAACATACCACATATTTTTCTTGTTTGTAGTTTGAATCCTGCCACATCAGTGTCGACACAAGGGCTGAGATTTGATCTTGTTTTTTTCACTACTGTGCCTCAGGGCCTAAAACAGTACCTGGCAGAAAGTGGGCCTTTATTACATATGTATAGGATGGGGGCATGAATTACCACCAGCCTCCAGCCTCAGTTTTTCACCAAATCATTGAGCTTTGGGTCCTCTTATCCCTCTAGGCCATCCTGGAGATTAATTCACTTCCAGTTAGAGCTCTCTGGCTGCTGTTAGCCTCGTACAGTCTAAGAGGCTACACCTCTTAGTGTTTGCCGTGGGTCTGGAATATTAAACATGAGATTCCAGCTGGGCACAGTGGCTCAAGCCTGTAATCCCAGCACTTTGGGAGGCCAAGGTGGGAGGATTACTTGAGCCCAAAAGTTCAAGACCAGCCAGCGCAACAAAGTGAGATTTTGTCTCTACAAAAAATAAAATCAGCTGGGTGTGGTGATGCATGCCTGTGGTCCAAGCTACTCGGGAAACTGAGATAGGAGGATTGGTTGAGCCCAGGAGGTAGAGGCTGCAGTGAGCCATGATTGTGCCACTGCACTCCAGCCTGGGCAACAAAGTGAAACCCAGTCTCAAAACTAAAAAGACAAACAAAAAATCACGAGATTCCAGCAAGGATTGTCAACAGAGACTGAAACTATTAATTTGATTTGATAAAGAACAGGATATTTATTTAGTCTCAAAGTATCTTCCCCTAGATTACTTATTATAACAAAAAAAAGTATTCATGGAGAAAATTGGCAAACATCACGTTAACCAGATGATACAAGTTAATATCACCATTAACAGGACAAATTGACCTTAGTTGCCTCTGACGTGAAGCAAAGAGGGAGACACATATCATTTCTTTGGTTTTCCTGCCAAAATGCATAACTTAAATCTAATAATAAGAAACATGAGACAAAGCCAAAATGAGGGACACTCTACAAAGGAGGTGGCCTATAACCTTCAAAACATCAATGTTATGAAAAAACAAAGTAATAATAATAATAACAATAAAATAAAGTGCTTGTCAGGTACAGTGGCTCGTGCCTGTAATCCCAGCACTTTGAGAGGCCGAAGCAGGAGGATTGCCTGAGCCCAGGATTTCCAGACAAGCCTGGGCAACAAAGTAAGATCGATCCCCATCTCTCCAAAACTTTTTTTTTTTTGTGAAAGGAAGTCTCACTCTGTCGCCCAGACTGGAGTGCAGTGGCACGATGTCAGCTCACTACAAATTCTCCCAGGTTCAAGTGATTCTCCTCCCTCAGCCTCCGAGTAGCTGGGATTACAGGCACACACAACCACGCCCGACTAATATTTATATTTTTAGTAGAGACAGGTTTTCACCATGTTGCCCAGGCTGGTCTCGAACTCCTAGCCTCAAGTGATCCCCTCCTCCGACCCCTACTGCCTCAGCCTCCCAAAGTGCTGTGATTATAGGTGGGAGCCACTGAGCCCGCCCCGTCTCTCCAAAACTTAAAAAAAAAAATTAGTCGAGCATGGTGGCACACACCTGTAGTCCTAGCTACTTGGGAGGCTGAGGTGGGAGGATCACTTGAGTCCAGGAGTGGCTATGATGGCCACTCCACTACAGTCTGAGTGACAGAGCAGGACTCCAAGTCAAAAAAAGGGGGGCCAGGAAGGAAAAAAATCCTGTTGTATGCTATGACCTGGATGACCCTTGAGGACACCATACTAAGTGAAATAATCCTGTCATAAGACAAATACCGTAGGATTC